CTACAGCTATCCATGTCTGTGTCATTACATACATGTGCAAACTTCAGACCCCAAACACACTGAGCCTGATCAATTACATTTTAGGGAAATTATGTTCAATTTCATGAACATTTGCTTTAAGATTATGTTAATTTGTCTAATTATTTGTGAGAATGACAGCACTATGCAGAGCCATTAGTACTGCATAATTTGCCCAATATGGATGCATATATACTCAAGTTAATGATGAATCTTTGCACTTTGAACTCTTAATATGTTTCATATAGAGACAATGAACACAACCTGAGCCACAACCATCCTCTTACTAAGACAACAAAAAAAAACAAAAAAAAACAAATTCATTTATTTTCCCAATGACCTATGATTTATACACTGAGGTATACACTATGTGTAGTGAATGTAAGATGATTAGAGTTAAGAATTAAAAAAAAAGATCAATTTTATATTCAGTGATGGCATTATTATCAGCTAAAGCAGAACTACATAATAAAATGTCATATTGTTTAAAAACTGTATATGTTCATGCCAAATCTCAGATTTTCTTTGACTGACCCACTTTACACAGCTCAGTGGACACACGGAAGGGTATTTATACCTGCATCAGTGATCTCAGGGTGCCTGCGCTGAAGATGAGACTGTAAGTAAGAGTAATTGACGAAACACTTTTCACAGAACTGGCACTGAAACGAAAGAAAGATCAACAGGTAGCATTACTTAAAACAGACATTTTCCTGTGGCATATGCTGAACCAGCATTACTTCAAATGCCAATTTTTATTGCATATGTTTTGGTGGTTTATATGTTTTATCTATTCATGAGGTGATTTATCAAGATTCAAGGTTCAAGGTTCTTTATTTGTCACATACATTACATATCATGGACAATTAATGTTGCCCTGAAGGAATAAAAGAAAAAAAAAAAAAGAACTTTAAAGAACCAATTAAAAAAAGCAAGGCAGAACAAAATAAAGTTGTCTGCTTTTATTTATTGATGGAAATTTTATTTAAATGACATATTTCAATAAAACTGACACCCACAAATATTTTACCAATTTATTTTTTGTTTATTTTAACAGTCAAAAGTTTGACTTCAAGAAACTCACCTTGTGGTAATTATTGGCACTGGACTGCAGGAGGAGCTGTTGAGTGGCGATGAGCTTCTTCCTGCGCCGGCTCTCCAGCCTGACTTCCTGCAGCTCTTTCTCGAGTCGAGCTCGCTCCTCTTCCTCTCGCAGTGCCTGAGACAATGCCCCCTGCAGACGCTCCTCCAGTGCTGCCACCTGTGAGCTCAGATAGTCCTGGCAGTGCAGCAGGTACTCTGTGCTGAGCTGTGACATGCGCAGAACTTTCAGCAGCGTTGTGTCAGTTGGACAGCGGCACTGCGGACACCGCTCGCCCTCCACAGCACAGAAAGTCACAGAACTGATGAGCTCCTGCAGTACATTTATGTCTGTTTCTCTCTCCACACGGTCCACGTCCAGCGCTGCCATACGGCGCCAGTCAATCGGCTCGATACGGAGACGGAAGTGGAACGGCTGAGTGGGGATTGAGGCACTCCAGGAAGGAGAGGTTGGGGACATCTGTCCTGGCATGATACGAGATTTAGGGACAAAAGGAAGAGGTGATGGCGATTGACCACTTCTAAAGAAGAATCAGAGAGAGACAAAAATATTGGAAGAAGAGAGCAGACAGAGAGCAGATCCAGCTGACAGAGAATACGTCACTGTGTCTATGCGGATTACTCCTAAAGCAGTCAGTGGGCCTTTCTACATCAGAAAAGCACAAATACCTATATAATACACACGATAAAATGTAAAACTGTAGCTGTGGGCTTTTTTGTTAAAGTTTTTGGATGGATTGAGACGCTCTAGGATGTACAGGTTGGCCCAGCATAATATACAGTTGTTTGCCCACTAAAGAGCTTATTGATGTAATATGTGCAAATGACAGTTTGTTGTCATTTGTGCAATAACAGTTTCTTCAATAATAAAAATAATAATTCAGAAAACGAGAGACAGGCAAAGAGAGAGGGATGATGAATGGTGTTGATTAAGAACAGTTCCAGCTAACTGTAAATGTGACTGATCTCTAAGACAATAACCATAACAACAATAGTTCACTGTTAATCTAACTATGACTGTTAGGCAGACAAAAATGACAATCTTTTTAATAACATAACCCAGGTTGGTCATAGGTCTGTCATGGTCCAGCTTAGCCAACCTAAATGTAGAGCAATTGAGACATATGGTCCAGGACATATGGACTTCATGACATTTTGGTAGAACATGTCTGTTGCAGATGGTCTAACGTCCAGAGCTAAAAGAAACCAAAAAAAAAAAAAAAGTAGAGAAACTCAAATGTAGTTGAACCTACAGGTATGTAAAAGAGGAGAGAGATTCTTTTAGGCAGAATGTGCTGGGATGCATTTATACAAGACTATAAATTGACTAGCTGTTTATACAACATCCTGGTTTGATCTAGTTTATTAGATAATTAGTTATAGATAATTATAACCACTGACCATACCTTACACAAACAAGCACAAATATCCCTTGTCAAAAGCCTTCTTTTAATATGAACTGCTCTAAGCAATATGAAGGGTGGTACATCCCTCCTGCTTATGCATTATTCCACAGGTTTTAAGCAACAAGGAGAGACGAATGGGGATGAAAGCAACAACATAAACTTGTATCAACGCCAAAACGGAAGAATTTGAATATATTCATTTTGACACAAGCTACATTAGCTCAACTCTTATTTACCCCAAAACACATTTGTAAAGTCTTGTTTTTCAGTAGCTAGCAGTTGAACAGTGCAGTTCTGTTTCCCTGGAGTGTACGGAAACACTCGACAGTTCCTAAGCGATACTGCATCATTACAAACCACTGACTCTAATTTCTACACAACCAAACGTCACTCCCTCAGTTCAGCAATTTCAACATTGCTCTTTAAATTCTACTTATATTCACTATTTTGCTTAATTTTGTTTAAAATCAAACGGAGTAATACCCAGCACATTTAAAAACAATTACATAAACACAAATTAAAGAATTCCAAAAAGAATTTAACGTATTCATTTTGTGCGTCTAATATAAATATTGTTTATACTGCTGATAACTCAGATGAAGGTAGCAAGCTATAGTCTGTGTTTTAAAATGAATTTTATTAAGTATACAGCAAGTGTATTGCTATAGAAAAATCGATATTGAGGATAAGCCGAATATTAATTGTTAGGTAGATGGCTAACACACTTGGCTGAATTGAAGGGAAGAGATAATACAAGGAAAACTCCTCATATTCACATTTCCTGTTTGGTGTCTGGTCCAGCAGCTCTTGTGAAGATGGATGGCATCATGAATTCTGCTAAATACCAGGATATTTTAGCTTTAAACCTGGTTCACTCTGACAGGATGTAAGATAAAGTCATACATACATTCAAATTAACACAGAAATATTTGATCAGCTTCTGAAATTTGAAAACATGTGCTTTAAATTAAAGAGGCCATAAGCAAAAAGCTAAGAACTGGACTGAGGACTGGATTGGTCCAAAAATCCCTCTCTCCCCAACCTTACTAGAATAGCAATTGTAGTGCCAATAATTTTGAAAGGAGCACTTGGCAGAAAAAAAGGGGTTCGTTTTTATGGTAAAGATATTTTAAAAATCAGAAACATAGTGCCCCAATGCATTTCAGCTCAAATCACTCATCACATATGTTTATTTTATGTATTCATTTTCATGAAGGGTGCCAATAATTCTGGAGCTGACCTGTAACTCACAGTGTTTTAACGCCTGCGGTATTTAATTCATACAGTAAACACATACAGTGCTCATTGTCAGTTCGCAGAAGATTTAATATCAATATTTTACATTTTTCAACACTAACTTTAAAGCTAATGGTGACACACTTCATCTTCTAACCTCCAGCATTACCAGTGCTAAGCTACAGGCTAACAACTCTTCCATTTACCAGCAGTCTTGCAAGCAAAATACTTTCCTAGTATATTTTTAAAAAATAAAATAGCTTTTTAAATGAACGTGTGCTATTAACATTATGGACAGTTTAAGAAAAAAGCGGGAATTAACTGTTAACGTTAATAAATGCATCATCTGGCAACCGAGTAAAGTTTACAAGCTTCTAACTTCCCCCACAGCTTTGTGTCTTACCTCAGCTCCGGCTCTCTGCTGCACAGTTACCGAGGCAGAGCAGACTTTCAGCCACACAGCCCTGAGAACAAACATTAAAGTTTTACACTGAAGCATTCAGGCTGAAATGTAAAACAGCACTGTGTTGCTGCTCCAGGAGTTTTACTTCCACTTTGGGTGGAGCAGTACAGAGAAGCACAAACCGTCTCCTTGGAGACCACCGACGCGGGCTGTGTTCCAGTTGACATTGTTGTCTTCCGCGTAGTGTACACTAGCTAGTAGCTAGTGCTAAGGACGCGGTTAGCGAGTTGGTCGGCTTGTTAGGATTAGCTTAGCTATAGAAACGAGCCGTAAAACGAATGTAAGCGTTACGCTCGTGACATATACACACACCGGCCACTTTAATAGGAACACTTGTACCCCTGTTCATTCATGCAATTATCAAATCATGCAGATACAGGTCAAAAGCTTCAGTTAATGTTCACATCAAACATCAAAATGGGGGAAGAAAAGTGATCTCAGTGACTTTGACTGCGGCATGGATGTTAGTGTCAGATGGGCTGACATTTCAAAACTGCTCATCTCCTGGGACTGGAAACACCTTGTTGATGAGAGAGGTCAGAGGAGACTGGCCAGAGTCGTTTGGGTTGGTAGGAAGACTAAAGTAACTCAAGTAACCACTCTTTTCAACCGTGCTGAGCAGAAAAGCATCGGAATGCATTCCACCTAGATTTGATTTAATCGGCACAGTTTTTATACCCGATGCCCTTCCTGACTCAACCCTCCCCAATTTTATCCAGGCTTGGGACCCGCACTGGGAGTGCACTGTCATGTGCAACCCCAGTGGCTGGGGTTGGTTCCCTGGCCAGGAATTAAACCCGGACCATGGTGATGAGAGCGCCGAGGCCTAACCACTGGTCCTCCAGGAACCCAGAAGTAGTAGTAGTAGTAGTATTAGTAATAATAATAATTATTATTATTATTATTATTTTTTGATCTCTACCCGGACCATGGCAGTGAGAGCACCGTTGCTTAACCACTAGTCCTCCAGGGACCCAGGAGTAGTAGTAGTAGTAGTAGTAATAATAATAATAAGAAGAAGAAGAAGAAGAAGAAGAAAAACAATTATTATTATTATTATTATTATTATTATTATTATTATCTCAACCCGGACCCTGGCAGTGAGAGCACTGTGGCCTAACCACTAGTCCTCCAGGGACCCAGGAGTAGTAGTAGTAGTAGTAATAATAATAATAATAATAAGAAGAAGAAGAAGCAGAATTATTATTATTATTATTATTATTATTATTATTATCCAACTTGGTCTGATCTGCTACCAGTTACCAAAACACAGGCTGTTCGAACTGTTAGACCATCTTTGGTAAGTTATTTCACAGCTTCCTTATTACTTCACTAAACTGATCAATACATGTTTGAGATTGTTGTGATATTTTCTTAAAATAACTTGTATATGATGTATAATAATAATTTACCTGTACATGTTTTTCTTGAGGTCATTTGCAATGAACAAAATCTCTACTAAAAAAGAAAAGTGGATTTTGCTAATTAAGTGAACTATTTTTTAATTAGAACGGTAACTGTAATCGAATTATTATTTTAGTATACACCAATATATAAGGGTTTTGGTCCAGTGAATTATATACTGAAATGTATTTGTATTGGTGAGAGATTGAAAAGGGTCCATTGAAGTGACAGTATTTGGGACAGTAAGGTTTTTTACTAGTGACTGGATGGCTGAGAGCCACTCCTGGGCCTCATAGCATGGCTCTTAAGCGCAAACCGCTCAGCTCTGTGCTTGGATGGGATTCTGCATTATTTGTGCTGCTTTGAATAAAAGATGACCAATAGCCAAATGACTAAAATCACATGCATAAAGCCTCTGATGAAGCAAGAAATTGAGCCAGCACAAGGGGGAGCCATTGACCAGGACAGACATTTAACATGCTCAACATTTCACATAAGGTTCAGGATTTCACATGCAATAAAATACAGTACATGCATAAAAAAAAAAAAAAAAATAGGTTGATGTGCAAAAAGAGCCAGCACGCTGATATGGTATATGACTTGGAGGAACATTTAACATGTCTTAAGAATTCCACATTGAATGTTAAACACTTAGTCATTTCTTCAGAGAACAGACTTGCACTTATTCTATGTTATTCTATGCCTAGGATGTTGTGAATTAACAGATGCCTCTTAATTTTGTTCATAACCTCACTGACATCTCTGTATGAACCTAAAAGCCTAAAAGCCTAAAAGCAACCTACACCCATGACTCTTAAGATCAGAATGCAGGATTTCAACATGGTCTTATTAATGGAATTTGTAACAGGTTGCACAAGCCAACTTATATTAAAAATAGGAATTGTACAAGTATGTGTGGGCAGTGTTCACATTTCTTTCTTTTTTTATGGCCTCATTCATAATGTAATTCAACAAAATCACTCTAGTCTATTAAAACCCCTGCACATAGACTGAATTGGAATTTCAGCCATCCTGAACTAGCTCATGGACTCTCATGCTATCTAAATGCTCAACGTCGCAGGAAATCTCACTCCTGCCACGTTTGACTTAACACACCACACAAGAGTGGTGGCCAAATGCAAAAGTAGGGATAAAAATATTTTAATACATGAAGGAAACTTTCAGGCATGTCCAATCTTTTTGTTACATAATCCTTGCATTAATTTCCCTCACTCCCTTGTCTTTTCCAACTCTATTTTTAGCTAACGTCAGTGTTTTCTTCAGTCACTTGGGACCGGTACTCCGGCCTGCTCTACCCTCACTTTGGTGTGTTTAAATAGATCTATCAGCATGAATTCTCTCTGCCTCGGTGCCTCATCCAATCCTGGCGAACAAGTCCATCCTTCACTGTCTGTTTAATGAGCAGTTCACCTTCCCTGCAGCACAGCGTTGAGAGACTCTCTCCTTCTCTCACTCACTCACACCTACTACCACTCTCTCACTATCAAAACTGCAATTATGCTTAGAAAACTGCAATCCCACAAAGTTTGCTTCATCTCTTTATGCCTGCAATGGACGGCTCCCCACGGACAGACTACATGCCTAGGTAAGCTACAGATTGGTCGAAAAATCTACCAATGATTTACTGGAGGCTGTCAATCGTTCTACAGTTTATTAGACAACACACGGCTGTGAATCTCTTGACCTGTAATAGACCTGAGATGGGTCATCTGAGGTGGTTGGAATAATTTTTGTGCATTTACAGTGTATAGGTAAAGAATAAAACATCAGATGTGCTTTATTTTAGGAAATTAATCAACAATAGGGAGGAAAATATTCCGATAACAACACGTCCCAAAGTGTTTCATTCTTTTTATACTTCAACAATTTACCAATGCTCATTTTTTTCATTAATTATATAACTTTTTTTAAATTAATTAAAAAAAAAAAGTCTTTTTCTTAATTCATAGTTAGTACATTTAATGAAAACAAGTTAGTTCCTGTTGTGACTTACATTATAATAGTTATTATACATTAAAAGCTATAATAAGACAAAAAGATGGAGCATGTCATGATACAAGTCAAGTCAAGTCAAGTGGAGTTTATTGTCATTTCAGCCATATACAAGTACATAGTGAAACGTTTCTCCAGGACCAAGGTGCTACATAACACGACACAGAACAACACAGAACTACAGGGACTACATAAATTATACGTAAAGTGCACAAGTGCAAACATGTGCAGACAGCACAAGACAGACCAAGACAGTACAATGACTACAACGCCGACCAGTACGCAGTTCTGTTTGAAAGTGACCAAGTGACAATAGTGCAAATATTACAAGAGTATGATATAAATAGCTGAAGTAGTGTAAACATAATGGTATTATATTATGTGTAAACATAATAGTAGCAGCAGCAGCATAAAACGTGCAAAACATGTGTAAAACATGTGCATGGAGGATGCTCAATTGTGTGTGTGTGTGTATATGTATGTGTGTGTGTGTGTGTGTGTGTTCCTTCCTTCAGTCCAGTTTCTAGGTATTGAGGAGTCTGATGGCATGAGGGAAGAAACTATTGCACAGTCTGGTTGTGAGGGCCCGAATGCTCCGGTACCGTTTACCAGACGGCAGGAGGGTGAAGAGTGTGTGAGAGGGGTGTGTGGGGTCATCCACAATGCTGGTGGCTTTGCGGATGCAGTGTGAGGTGTAAGTGTCCGTGATGGAGGGAAGACATCACAAAGTGACATCGCAAAGCCTTCCATCCGGAAAACTTCTCCATGTTGGAAAATATTTTTAAAAAGTGAGAGCTTTACTTCTGACTGTTACAAAGCGATGACACTAGAGACTCTTTCCTCACAGAAAGCTTCACCATATCAGCAATTACATCCATTTTTTTGATCCACTTATGTGGAGGATCCTTCATAACACTCCCTGCATAAATTGCTACAAAGGAAATGATAGCATATTAAATAGAGCAAATGCATGAATATATACCTTGCTGCTGGCACTGTTATGGCACTGAGCTGCTCTTCACTGAACTGAATCAACACATTTTGTCCAATCATAATGGATCACTGTGGTATAAAGGCATACAGTCACAATTTCACTCTTATTTCCTGTATTTTAAAATATTTACCAATGTGACTATGCTGGACTCGTGTCCCATCCAGGGTGTATTCCTTATGCCCAGTGTTCCCGGGATAGGCTTTGGATCTACCACGACCCTGACCAGCATAAAGCAGTTACTGAAAATGAGTGATTACCAATATGAAATCCATGAAGTCACAGAGAGGACACTATTTTCCAGTTGCATGTGTTAAATCACATGTATACTTAAGTAAACCTAAAACAGGGTCTATGGAAGATTGCATCTTCACAACTGAGCCTATACCATCTCTGCTTAAGGTGTAATATTTGTACATTAGGTGAAATATTTGTAGGATGGTAATTGTGTTGTGTTATCTGTGATGTGTGGGTTGAATGTTTTGTGTTGTGACCAAACACCAAGAAAATTAATAATACATGTAAATGTATATGGATAAATAATAAAATGATTCTGATTCAGATTCTGATTCTGAGTAAAATAGCATATCTTTCCATTATGTGTTTGCCTTAATGAATTTGAAATTTGGAGCAATTCTAGCTAGAGGTGCAAAATACTGGGAGGCATCTGCACAAATAGATTCATTTCCCCCTGACAATATGATTTACTGCAGCCTGAAAGTCACTTGGGGAAGGTGATTGCATGTGCAAATCAGTACGGCCTTCGGGAAGGTATTATATTTGCAGAGGCCAGTTTCCATCATTTGGAAAAAAAAAAAAAAAACACCATTTACTTTTTTTTTCTAATAATAAGCTTTAGAAAGAATATGCCTTACTATCTCAAAATGATTAGAATGATTGGTGTCTTGACATGATGACTAAATAATATGACTGATTTTTTTTATTTTTTTTTTATAATCAGTCGGCAGTCGTAAGGCACTTGGAGTGTACCACTGTTAAACCTCTATATAAAAGATTCATCAACAGTACTCGTATTAACTGTAAAATACAACTGTGTGATATGCCTAAGGTACCTAATTAGAGTGATAAAGATGTTGACCTTTTCTGATTAGCTCTAGATTGTTCCAAGTCCTTTCTCACATTTTCAAATTTTACAGTCAGGTCCATAAATATTGGGACATCGACACAATTCTAACATTTTTGGCTCTATACACCACCACAATGGATTTCAAATGAAACGAACAAGATGTGCTTTAACTGCAGACTGTCAGCTTTAATTTGAGGGTATTTACATCCAAATCAGGTGAACGGTGTAGGAATTACAACAGTTTGCATATGTGCCTCCCAC